GGACTATTCACCCACGGCTACAAGATCGACAGATTTTTTCGGAACCCGCAACAACAGGCCGCCACACCGCACGGCAAGTACTACCTAAAAGCCGGTACGAACCGGATTTGGGTACCAGCATACCGACCTTTACGGGAGCTGCTGACGCAGGAGGTTCACGACTCCAACCTTTTCGGGCATTTCGGCAGTGACAAAACACTGAAGCTGCTGCAGCGGAATTATTACTGGCCGGATATGCACACCGATGTGCAGCGCTACGTGTCAACTTGCCCGACCTGCCAAGCAATGAAGTCGTCGCGACAAAGGCCAGCCGGACTGCTGCAACCCCTCGCGCCACTGGAACGACCGTGGCAACAGGTGACGATGGATTTCGTCACGGGGCTCCCAGCTGGCACGAGTGGCAACGACTCGGTAATGGTCGTCGTCGATCGCCTAACAAAAATGGCACATTTCGCCCCATGCCGAACGACGATCACAGCCGAAGATAAAGCCAAACTGTTCATCTCCATCGTCGTACGCTTACACGGGTTATTTTCGGCAATCATCAGCGATCGTGACCCGAAATTTACGTCGAAGTTTTGGCAGGAGACGTGGACACAGTATGGTATTCGCCTGCAGTTTTCGTCGTCATACCACCCGCAAACCGACGGACAGACGGAACGGACAAATCAGACCATGGGGCAACTGATTCGCACCAACTGCCCAGACATTCGCAAATGGGAAGATTCACTGCCGATGCTGGAATTCGCATACAACAACGCCCCGTCGGCCATGACTCAACAATCACCCTTCTTCCTAAATTACGGGATAGACCCCGTGGTACCCTCTTCAACGAATGTGGAAAACCCGGTACCAAGATCGCAACAGTTTGTCACGGAGCTGCAGACCGCCCGCACGAAAGCAGTTGATTTCATTCGTAGGGCTAATACCACGGCCAGTCGCCAGGCGGATAAACATCGACGGGATTTACCCTTCCGCGCAGAGCAGGTTGTGCTCCTGGACACCAAGAATCTCAAACTGCCGCAGTTCGCGAAACTACGGCCCCGATACGTGGGACCATTTCGTATTATCCAGACGGTGACACCTGTCACCGCGAAGCTGCTGCTGCCCGACGACTGGAAAATACACGACGCATTCCACGTCAGCCTGCTGCGTCATTACGAGCAGCCGTAGTCGACAGCTGTTGCTCGGCCAACCATTACGCCGACCACACGCCCCGTGCCAGAGCCCACGCTGGAACCTTGGAAGATTCTTAACCATCGCGTGGACGTGACTGCCACCGGTCGCTCAGTGAAATTCCTGCTTCGCTGGAAAGAGCACACGAGCGAGGACGACACGTATGTCGCCGCTGACTCGCTACTGGGACATCCGGTTGTGGATGCTTACCTGGCCCGCCGAGGTGTCTCGGATATTCACCACCTCTCTTAAGGGGGGGGGGGGGGGGGTAGTGTAAGGATTTTTTCGGATTCCTTACTGGGTCACACTGTCACGTACAACCCCGACTTTTGGAAAACCAGGCTCGGTCCGCCGACCTCGCCTTCCGAGCCACTACCGCGTCGCTTTCGGGTTTCCCAACCCCGAACCTGCACCCAACCATCTCGCGACCCCGCGACCTCGGCCTAGCTAGCTTCGCTATATTAGTACTAGGCCTCGTTGTGTTCTAAGACGTTGTAATCACTTCTGCATCATTGAGTACTGCGCACTCTTCCTTTCACAACTCATAACAGTGAGCCATATCAGGTGTATCGCTGTGGCTTACACCTGTATTTGGGTTTGTGGTACACCCTGTTTCGCGCTAGCAGAGCATCTGGTTACAGAACATGCACTGGTTGTAGAACGTCACCACGTTTGAAATGGTCTTATCACCGACGGTACAAGCACATTCACAAGAAAGCGGTTAGCTAGGATGCTGCATGGTAAAGAACATTAACTAAGCGTTTCAAAGCGGTTGAAAAGGGTATACAGCGATAAAGAAAAATTTTGCCCCCAGTACCACTCCGTCAGCTGGTGCGGCTTTGCCCGCAGGTTTCAGCCATACGGTTTATGGCACCTGACCGCACTGTAGCAGCGAATCGCGCAAGGTGAGAGGGTCGAGAAACAGGGTGTACAGCCCAATGTCACTGCTGTGCAAGCCGCGTTGGATGATTGATGTGCTTTCGTGGCACACTTATTTTGTGGATATCTTCCGATGCGGCACGATAGGATTGGCTGGAATTGCAGCATATTTCTTAGTTCCCTTTTGCAAAATCGTGAGGTGCTGGAATATCGGCAATGATGAGCGTGCGGCCATTCGATCGCATGAAACACTCTAGCTCCTTCCAGGGGATGTGGATAATGATGGAGTGGTGTGTTGGCTTTGCTGGCTGCCCTATTGTTTGGGAAATTATACGCGCAGTCACAATTTAGGCCGTATTATCACGTTTGATTACGGGGTTATCACGGACAGTCACAGTACAGTACTTCGCTATCACGTGTGATCACAGCGCTATCACGCGTGGTCACACCTCGCCCCGCAGGGCTATCACGTTTGGTCACTCGTTGAAACGCCCGCCAAAAAGTCGAAACTCTCAAATCTACTGTACAGATTCGGGTACTATTATCTCGCGCGCGTTTTGTCTTTATTGAAAAACGTGATGTGACTGTCGAAATATACTCGGACCTTGTTAGGGACCGATGCAGTTTAATGTACAGTCCGCATGTTGCAGTGAATATAAGCGATCAATAACAGTTTCGATTATACATTTAGTTTAGGGTGTGCATTTCATCACTCCATCTACCTGACTTGCTCGGTTGTCTTTGTTTCGATTATACATTTAGTTTATGGATGAAATGCACACCCATCTACCTGACTTGCTCGGTTGTCTTTGTTTCGATTATGGAGTGATGAAATGCACACCCTAAACTAATCGAAACTGTTATTGATCGCTTATATTCACTGCAACATGCGGACTGTGCATTAAACTGCATCGGTCCCTAACAAGGTCCGAGTATATTTCGACAGTCACATCACGTTTTTCACTACAGACAAAACGCGCGCGAGATAATAGTACCCGAATCTGTACATTAGATTTGAGAGTTTCGACTTTTTGGCGGGCGTTTCAACGAGTGACCAAACGTGATAACCCTGCGGGGCGAGGTGTGACCACGCGTGATAGCGCTGTGATCACACGTGATAGCGAAGTACTGTACTGTGACTGTCCGTGATAACCCCGTGATCAAACGTGATAATACGGCCTAAATTGTGACTGCGCGTATAATTTCTCCTATTGTTTCCCTGAATCTTTCGTTTTGGGCTCTCAATTCTTACAACCCGAAATCTTTGTGGGGGTACACGTAGGTCCCTTCGACTGTTGATAGGGGATGGCTGGACTAAACTGTGGTGGCTGGATGCTTCAGATCTGCTGAATGTTTATGGATATGATTACAATCTGGAAACTCGTGTGTGGTGCAGTCTTTTGCGGTTGGTCCGCGTCATCATCGAGAGTCCTTGCATTTGCTCGCCCACCACGCCCCTCAGATGTCAGGGGCTGTTCAAGAATCAGCGGCAGATTCACGCCATGCGCTATCAAGTGGCGTATCCTTGTGTTTGTATTGACAACAAGGCTCAGGGTAAATGCTAGTTCCTGACTAGAAATCCAAGGTATTGTTTAGCCGAACTCGGATTTTTACAGGGGATGTTTTCCGCCAGCCCTGACTGAATCCGAGCACTTCCAGGACTGACTCTGATGAATCCGAGTAGTCCCTCGAAGGACTCGGAACTTTTTCTAAGGCTCTAACCACCCCCAACCTTGCCCCTCCTCAACAAAGGTAGACTTCTCCCCCGCTTCCTGGACTTGTGAGTGCTTCACGCCCGCCTCTCTGTTCCTTCGTCAAATTCGGAGGCCCTGTACACTTCCGCTCTCTGTGAGCAGAGGTCCACACGAATGCAGCACCAGTTCACCGACACAGAGTTTCAACATCAGCTGTTGTCAGAAAGAAGTCTCTATTGTCGCGTATTTTCGAATTACTTTAACGAGGAAATTCTAGGCCAGCCCTGATATTTCCGAGCGGTTTTTCGGCTGACCCTGCGTTTTCAGGCCATTTTTTGAAGCGTTATATTCCGTCCGAGTTGGCGAAAAGCCTAACTTAAGCCCTGATTGACAAACACGACACTTTTTTTTATCAACCACCATAGCCCCGTGTAGCTTTTTTTATGACTCTTATGTGGGCATTTCCTACCTGATGTGCGTAAAGTTTTTGTTTCCTGATTCTCAATGGAAGTACACAGGGGCAGATTATAGTTTCTGCACATTCAAGGTTCAGCATGTGAGCTCAAGCCGCGTCAGACCCTTCCTCGGCGCCACGTCACCCGTCTGTGCGTTTCCCACATTCCAGATTATGGAGAACATTACGATTGCCCCAAAACTACCCGAATAACAAGCTTTGCCCAGTAACATTGTTTTTGCTGCTCAGCAATTCGCGGCACATTTTGCAACGACTGAAGTCATTCGAGTGTGTCCGTCCATCAACCCTCGCCCTCGCCCCAACGTACAGTGACCTGCTGCTTCGTCGTCCTCAACCGCATCAGCCCCCACGATTCCCAACCAGATGTCCTTTCCACCTCACTCCCCTTTCCAGCCTCAACTACAACGCCTTGTGTTCTGTGCTTCCAGTTCACACACCCTTCCTCCCCCACCCCTTGCCTTCAGCAACCAAGTCACAACACAACTGTAGGGAGTTTCACAGTTCCACATAACAAAGCTCTTATCTGTTCCACGTTGCTTTCAAGGACGTTCCTCACGGGAGTGTTGCCTCTGTTTTTTCGTCGTGCACCCAGCCGATCACAAAAGCGCTGAGGAGTTTTACTTGACGAATCCGCTTGCTTCCTGCTGCAGTAAAACCACTGATTTTCGAGCTACCTTCACTTGCTCCTGCTCTTCCAAAACCATGGAGAAAGAACGCTCGTCGGAATTTGCATCCGCGTTTGCTTCCACCAAATTCTGCTCCTATCCAGCCTATTCCTACCTACCGCGACCGCACTCCACCGCATCAGCATCCATGTCTGTCGTCTCCGCTCTCAACCACGACCCCATGCTATCCGCGCAGCACTCCATAGCCCCTTCCTGCAGCGTCGTTCCCCCAGACGGCTCCTCCGCCTGGCCCGCCTCCGCCGCTGTAGCCGCTGCTGCGGCGGCGCAAGCGCAAGCGCAGTCCCACGCGCCCATGTGGGCCTCCTCGCCATTCCATTGCCAGGCGCTTCCGCCTCCCGCACCCAACGGCTCCGCGTGCTTCTCGTTCCCCGGAGCCGAACCTGCGCCGCCCATGTTCACGTTTCCGCAGTTCCGCCTGACGAACACTCTCGCTGCGGCGCAGCTGATGGAAGCGGGAGCTTCCGCCTCCGCCGCTGCTGCCGCTGCCGCGTCCGAATCTGTCAGTAAGGGCAAGCGGCTCAACGAAAATGCGTCAGAAGCGTTAAGCAATCCGGCTCTCGCGCTGCGACCGCGGAAAAGAGGACGTCCTTCGAAAAAAGACCGCGCTGCAGCCGCGGCGGCAGCGGCGGCGGCGGTAGCGGCATCGCAAACCGCATCTGCAGCTGCACGAACTGCGTCCGCAGCGATTGGCGCAGCCTCTCCCGCCGGCGGTACCTCTGCGGATTGTAACCCCCTGGAACAGACAGCTACAGGCGTTACTGGCGGTGCCACAACCACGGACCAATCCAACCTCACCACGAGCCAGCCTGCTGTCACCGAACGGAAAATGCCGCAGCTTTTACCGCGTATGCCCGCCTCCGCCACTTCCATCCCCTCCGCCGGGTTTCCGCCCATGCACGTGTCTTTGCCGTACGGCGCAAATCTGACCGCGTCTCCCATGCACCCGTCGATGTTTTCCGGTGGTCCGTATGCTGCGGCGGCAGCGGCGGCCGCGGCGGCTGCGGCTGCGGCAATGGTTGCGCCTGCCACTGGCGCCGCTGGGCCGTGTTCGTCGCTAGGCTCGTTTTCGCAGGTCATGTACGAAGCTGCACAACAGCAGCAGCAACAGCAACAGCAGCAACAGCAGCTGCAGATGCAGCAGCAACAGGCGCAAGTCATGCAGCCGCAGATGTTCGCAGCAGCTACGCCGCTCAGCGCCACGGCGGGGAGCGCGCCGCCGCCTGTCCTTGGTATCCCGGTTCACGGTTATAATATTTTCTCCTTGGTCAAACCGCTCGAGAGCACGCTACGCGCGGCGTCCGTGAGCTTGCCGCAGCCTTCCGTTCTGAAACCCGCTATGTCCGTCGCGAATGGCGCGACTGGCGGCGCCGCTAACGATGCCGGTCTGTTACAGGTTCAAGAGCAGCAGGGCAGTAGCGGAGCTGTGAAACCTTCCGCGACGGCTGCTGCTGGTGGGGCTGAGAACGGCGGAAAGGATGGTGACGCTGCTTCACCAGGCACTGCGGGTCGATCGTCGCTTAGCTCTGAAGTGTCCCCCTCGCCAGATGCGATCCCGGCCATCGATTGGATGCTCGGGCAGATGAAACGTTCGCTGGGTCAGCAGAAAAAAGAGACTGGTGCTGCTTCGAGCGTGGTGGCGGAGCACGGGGATGAAACCCCTGCTGCAGCGGGCAGTGGTTCAGCTGGTAGTGGTTCCGCTTGGCTGCCCGTTCCCCGGTCGCTCAGATCTGCCCCTCCCCCCGAAGTTGTCAACGCAGCCGCGAAGCTTTTGGCGGGAACTGGGACGCTGCTCGACCAGTATGAAATTAAGGGCCTTGGGAATTCCGCGAAGTCTAAAGCATCCGCATTAGGGTTCGGTTCAGTAGCAGCGTTTCCGACGAAGGGTGTTGCATTGAATTTTGCATTTGAGGCTGCTAATGGGGCAGACAATGGAGTCGAAGCAGCAGGTGGAGAGATGGGTGAAATTACTAAGCAAAGAGGAGCTCCTAAGGTTGATCTTACGCTCAAGCTCTGAAGATGGTCAGGACTCAGAAGGTTTTGCTGAGATGGCTGCTGATATGGTCCCTAATTCTTTCAAGGCCAACATGGACTAGAGTTTCTAGTGTCCAGACCAGACACCAGGACGGGCTGCCGCTGCAGTGGTTGTGCAAGCTCTCGTGCCGCTCCATCGGCGTCTTATTTAATAGCTGCACTTCCTTATGGATTCTTAGGTACTGTCATTTCTTGGTGTGGTTTGCTGAGTGTGACAGCTATTTGTTTTTGCTAACCATTCTGGTTGTTAGTCTAAAAACTCACTATTGAATCAAGGTGTAAATCATAACTTTTATGATAAGATGTACGACCAAACCCACTTTTCCCAACCAGTCCTTGAAACGCTCTTTGCGCAAGAGTTAAGCTTGATCACCCAACCAAAGAGGATGAGCTCACTGCAGCAACCACAGAAAGCCAAAGCCAGTGCGCACCTTTTTCGCGCTCACACCTGCTTGTCGTCGTGTCAGTTCCATCGCAATGCGGCTACAACCTGGCCCGTTCTGACCGATCATTACATTTCACGACACTGGTAGCTTTCTGGAGTGAATTTGACCTAAATTCACGCGATCAGCGCGCATTTCAAGCTGCAACAGGAGGCTGCATGATACGCCGTCTCGTCGCCAGTTCACCTGTCAAACGGTCGCAACAGACATGAGTTACGCGGCCTATAAAGTTGTCCACCCGCCGACCGGCGTCACATGCTGTGCGTCTGGGTTCCTTACTCGCTCCGCGGCCGCCGAGCCTCTGCCGAACCTGATCGTCAGCCGCGGAAATGTCTTGCAAGTGTTTTCGGTGCGAAGCGACGTGGTGCGCGGGGAGGCGGAGGAGGGGGAGCGGAAAGGGGAAGCGGGGAAAGACGGGGGAAGTCGCAATGATGCAGGAAACAGCGTTCTTCCTGGAGCAACGCTGGATGTTGTCTGCGAGTTCAGGTGGGGGTACACGCAATAATCAAAGCGAAGGTAAAACAACCTTTGAAGTCACTTCCTGGAGCAACACTGGAGTTTACTGGTTCAGGTGGGGATAAATGCAAGAATGAAAGTGATGATAAGTCAAACTCGGGAGGCGGAGGATGGGGAGGGGAAGGGGAAGCGGGAAGCAGCGTTTTTCCTGGAACAACCCTGGATGTTGTCTGCGAGTTCAGGTGGGGAAGCAAATGCAAGAAGGAAAACGAAGGTAAAAACGGTTCCTTTAATTTTCTTTCCAATTTACCTCCTTTTCTCCCTTTTCCTCTTGTTACAGGCTGAACGGAGTGGTAGAGAGCATAGCGGTCGTGCCAGGCGCGGCAGCAGCTGACGCAGCAGGCTGGGTGGGGATTGGGGGAGGTGGATCTAACTCCACGGGTGGTGGGGGAAAAGGAGCAGGGCGAGGTGCGGCAGGGGGAGAGGGGGGCGGGAGAGGAGGGAGAGGGAGGGGGGGACGGCAATCGGGAAGGAGAGAAGGAAGAGGTGGTGCAGGGAGCGCAGGGGACCCGAGTGCAGCACAGGGTGCTACTGGTGGTGGCATTGGCAGTGGAAACAGCAGCGTTTGTGGTAGTGGCAGCGGCAGCGGCAGTGGCGGCATGGGGTACAGTGGTCGCAAGGATGCGTTGGTGCTGACGTTTCGAGAGGCCAAAGTGTCCGTGGTGGAGTTTGATGATGCGGTGCAGAGGCTCAAAGTCAGGTGCGGATGGTGCATGCATGGGTATGCATGGGTATGTGTGTGCGGGGGCACTTGCACTGGGCAGTGGGCAAGGCATGCCATGGCACACCATGCGATGCGCCTAGGTGTTTGTTGTGGAGTCCGATGATGTAGGGTTTTTTTGTTGTTGAGAATTCTCAAAAAAAACCTACAGCATCATGCTAGGTGCCTAGGTGTTTGTTGTGGAGTCTGATTATGCTAATGAGAGGCTGTAGTTACCTATATTTACCTCCCACCCTCCCTTCCATCCATCCACCAACCCAATTTGTGATCCCAACAGCTCCCTGCATTACCTCGAAGGGCCTGAGTGGACGGCCCGAAAGCGGGGCAGAGAAAACTTTCCGCTCCCGCCCATCGCGCGCTCCGATTGGTCGGGCAGGTGCTCTGCTGTGCTGGTGTACCGCTGCCACCTGCACTTTCTCACTCGCAAGCAGCCAGGTCACACCCAGACAGGTCACAACCATCCAGGCAACACAGAGACAGGTCCAGATGCTGCCCTCATCTCTCCCACAACCCAACGTTCTGCTTCCTTCAAGGGAGGCTTGGACCGTTCCTCCTCATTCCGAGGAGGCTCAGCAGGCGAGGCTCCCAGGTTTGGCGGCTCGTTCACTATCGACTTGCGCCCCCTTGGGATCTCCAATGTAAGGAAGCCGCACCGCAATCTGCTCGGCTGTTGTGGATGCAAGGCCGTCGGTAGGTAGTCTGCATAATGATTGTCTGTCCCCTTGGGATTTCCAATACAAGAGATCTGCACTGCATGAATTGAGATTCTGCAACGTTGCGTGCACAAAGGAGGGGATTGCAAAAACCCAGATCGAAGGATCTGCTGCAGCCCGTTTGCTGTGCAAAAACCTCTTTTGAGTTGACTCAAAAGTCACCTCGTTACAATGGCACACGACACTTTTTGAGTCAACTCAAAAGTCAAACCCAGATCGAAGGATCTGCTGCAGCCCGTTTGCTGTGCAAAAACCTCTTTTCCTAACCTTTTCTGTGCCTCTTCCTATGTGCCCACCTCGATAGCCTTCCTTCCCCATGCCTCCTTCAATCAAGGTCCCTCAGAAGTGACTTTTGAGTCGACTCAAAAGTCACCTCTTCCTATGTGCCCACCTCAATAGCCTTCCTTCCCCATGCCTCCTTCAATCAAGGTCCCTCAGAAGCCTTTCCTGTACGCTCCTTCGTCCTCCTCCCCTGTCCTGTCCTCCCGAACCTCCAGGTGCGGGATTTTGTCTTCTTGTCCGAGCCTGGAGACCCGATCGTAGCAGTGTTGTGGGAGGAGGGCAGCGCGTGGGCGGGGAGGCTGGGAGGGTCATCCCCCGCTGTTCTAGAGGCCCGCTTCTCCTGTGCTGTCACCTTTCTGCGAGTGTCCCTGCACACCCGCTCACATCTCATACTTGGGACCACCAAGGTGAGCATAGTAGCAGAGCAGCGTTGTGGGAGGAGGGCAGCGTATGGGCGGGAGGCTGGGAGGCTCGTCCCCTGCTGTTCTAGGGGCCCGCTTCTCCTGTGCTGTCACCTTTCTGCGAGTGTCCCTGCACACCCGCTCACACCTCATTCTTGGGACGACCCCCTCACACCAGCGGATTTTCTCTGCGATGGTCATTGCCTCCCTCTCCCCTCCCTTTCCCCCCTCGCTCCGCCCTTCTTGCAGCATCTTCCTTTCAATTCTTGCAGTCTGTTCCCCGCCCCCTTCCCCAAAACCTCTTCCCCTCTCCCCTCCCGCTCCCTCCTTCTCCCCTCCCGCTCTCCTCGCTCTCCCCCCCTTCCCCCCCCACACTCCACCGTTCTTGCAGCATCTCCCCTTGGACGCCTACGCGCTCTTCCCGCCCCCCTTCCCCCTCTGGAGTGGAGCCGGCTCGTCCTCCCTCCCCACTCCCTCCACTTCCGCTCCTTGAGAATTCTTAAAAACGAGCCTTCCCTCCCTACCCTCCCTGCTCCACCCTACCTGCAGCATCTTCCATTTGACTCCTACGCGCTCTCCCCCGCCCCGTTCCCCCCCGGGGGGCTCCTCGTCCTCTCCCCCCACTCCCTCCACTTCTGCTCCTCCTCCTCCACCTGCCACCTGGCTCTCAACGATTCGTCGCCGCCCGCACTGCCAGATGGCACCGAGATCCCCCGTCCACGTCAGCAGCCAGGGCAGGTGCCGCTGTCTGTGGAGCTGGAAGCAGCCCATGCCACGTGGCAGCCTGTGATTGGGCCAAGTGGAGGGCCGGTCGGGGTTGGTGGGAGCAGCAGCAGTGCTGTTGCGTTTCTTGCGAGTAAAGGCGGCGCTCTGGTGGTGGTGAAAGTGACTCCTGAGGCCAAGTAAGGACGTGGGATGAGTCAAGCTTAGATTAGCGACATGGCAAGTGGAGGTAGGGGGGAGTCAAAGAAAGGACAGATGTACCTATCCCAGATTCTGTACATTGTCATGCTTGCAAGAGAGTGGAAAGCGGCTGTGCTTTCCGCTTTCGAGGCGCCTCAAAAGTCTTTCGAGGCGCCTCAAAAGTCTTTCGAGGCGCCTCAAAAGTTCGTGCATTGTCATGCTTGCAAGAGAGTGGAAAGCGGCTGTGCTTTCCGCTTGCTCCCTCTGCGTCTCTCCGTCCGCCCACTATACAACACGTCAGGCCACCCGGGCCATCTTCCTGTCTTTTGAGAATTCTCAAAAGCCATCTTCCTGTCTTTTGAGAATTCTCAAAAGCCATCTTCCTGTCTTTTGAGAATTCTCAAAAGCCGTCTTCCTGTCTTTTGAGAATTCTCAAAAGCCATCTTCCTGCCCAGGTCTCAATACAGGTCTGTGCCACGGCTCGTGCAGGCTAGTGCTCATACAGAAACGCATCAGACTGTTTATCAACCCTTTTAATCACGCATCCCACATTGAGGATGTTCCACGCAAATGAGCGGCTTCCAGTTCCACCCTCTCACCCTTTCCTCCCTCTCACCCTTTCCTCCCTCTCACCCTTTCCTCCCTCTCACCCTTTCCACCCTCTCACCCTTTCCTCCCTCTCACCCTTTCCACCCTCTCACCCTTTCCTCCCTCTCTCCCTTTCCTCCCTCTCACCCTTTCCTCCCTCTCACCCTTTCCACCTTCTCACCCTTTCCTCCCTCTCACCCTTTCCACCCTCTCACCCTTTCCTCCCTCTCTCCCTTTCCTCCCTCTCACCCTTTCCTCCCTCTCACCCTTTCCTCCCTCTCACCCTTTCCTCCCTCTCACCCTTTCCTCCCTCTCACCCTTTCCTCCCTCTCACCCTTTCCACCCTCTCACCCTTTCCTCCCTCTCACCCTTACCACCCTCTCACCCTTTCCACCCTCTCACCCTTTCCTCCCTCTCACCCTTTCCACCCTCTCACCCTTTCCACCCTCTCACCCTTTCCTCCCTCTCTCCCTTTCCTCCCTCTCACCCTTTCCTCCCTCTCACCCTTTCCTCCCTCTCACCCTTTCCTCCCTCTCACCCTTTCCTCCCTCTCACCCTTTCCACCCTCTCACCCTTTCCACCCTCTCACCCTTTCCACCCTCTCACCCTTTCCTCCCTCTCACCCTTTCCACCCTCTCACCCTTTCCACCCTCTCACCCTTTCCTCCCTCTCACCCTTTCCTCCCTCTCACCCTTTCCACCCTCTCACCCTTTCCACCCTCTCACCCTTTCCACCCTCTCACCCTTTCCTCCCTCTTACCCTTTCCACCCTCTCACCCTTTCCACCCTCTCACCCTTTCCACCCTCTCACCCTTTCCTCCCTCTCACCCTTTCCACCCTCTCACCCTTTCCTCCCTCTCACCCTTTCCACCCTCTCACCCTTTCCTCCCTCTCTCCCTTTCCTCCCTCTCACCCTTTCCACCCTCTCACCCTTTCCTCCCTCTCACCCTTTCCTCCCTCTCACCCTTTCCTCCCTCTCACCCTTTCCTCCCTCTCACCCTTTCCACCCTCTCACCCTTTCCTCCCTCTCACCCTTTCCACCCTCTCACCCTTTCCACCCTCTCACCCTTTCCTCCCTCTCACCCTTTCCACCCTCTCACCCTTTCCACCCTCTCACCCTTTCCTCCCTCTCACCCTTTCCACCCTCTCACCCTTTCCACCCTCTCACCCTTTCCTCCCTCTCACCCTTTCCTCTCTCTCACCCTTTCCACCCTCTCACCCTTTCCACCCTCTCACCCTTTCCACCCTCTCACCCTTTCCTCCCTCTCACCCTTTCCACCCTCTCACCCTTTCCTCCCTCTCCCTTTCCTCCCTCTCACCCTTTCCTCCCTCTCACCCTTTCCTCCCTCTCACCCTTTCCTCCCTCTCACCCTTTCCTCCCTCTCACCCTTTCCTCCCTCTCACCCTTTCCACCCTCTCACCCTTTCCTCCCTCTCACCCTTTCCACCCTCTCACCCTTTCCACCCTCTCACCCTTTCCTCCCTCTCACCCTTTCCACCCTCTCACCCTTTCCACCCTCTCACCCTTTCCTCCCTCTCACCCTTTCCACCCTCTCACCCTTTCCACCCTCTCACCCTTTCCTCCCTCTCACCGTTTCCTCCCTCTCACCCTTTCCACCCTCTCACCCTTTCCACCCTCTCACCCTTTCCACCCTCTCACCCTTTCCTCCCTCTTACCCTTTCCACCCTCTCACCCTTTCCACCCTCTCACCCTTTCCACCCTCTCACCCTTTCCTCCCTCTCACCCTTTCCACCCTCTCACCCTTTCCTCCCTCTCACCCTTTCCTCCCTCTCACCCTTTCCACCCTCTCACCCACCCCTCCCCAGCCCAACCTTATGCCACAGGGCGCCTACATTCCGCTTGGACCTGCTGCAGGCTCGGGCCACCATGCAGGCAGGCAGCTATCAGTCATCATAAGGCTGTTGAGCCCTTTTCCCCCAACACCTCCGCCCCCCGTCACCCCACACCACCATCCTCCCCACCTTATGCCACAGAGCGACTACATTCCGCTTGGACCTACTGCAGGTTCGGGCCACCGTGCAGGCTTCGGGCATCCTCAGCCTCGGCCCGAACCTGGTGCTCGTGGCCAGCAGGCTCGGCGACAGCATGCTCATTCGCTACCGAGCCAATGAGCACGGACTGGTAAGTCACGATGTAAGCAAGGATTTCGTAGTTGATTTCCAATCTCTCTCACACACAGTGTTGCATCTTAATCAAGAGACGAGTTCCTGCGCAAGTGAGGACCCGTGGGACCTCACATTCGTGATTTCCAATCTCTCACACACAGTGTTGCATCTTTCAGACGAGAGATGCCCCTGGCTTTTCTCCTGACCTGTCCTTCTTCCACTAATTTGCACCTGATTCAATTCACACCACAAACTCCCCACAAACTCCCCACAAACTCCCCACAAACTCCCCACAAGCTCGATATCTTTCCCCTCTGCCTCCACCGTTCGCATCTCCCTTCGTCTCCCCCTTTCATCCCCTCTTTTCCCCTTGCTCTTCGCCTCCACTCCGCCTCCCCCCTCCTTCCCCACTTTCCATCCCTCCTATCTGTGCCCACGCGTGTTTATTCCAGGAGAAGCAGCGAGGCGAGGGGCCAAGCACTTGAAAGCAGACGAAACCTCTGATGGCGAAGGCACTGCTGCAGCTGTTCCTGCAGCTCCTGCTGATGCAGCTGCTGGTGCGGAGGAGGAGCAGGGGCAGGAGGGCTTCTCCTTCCGTGTGTGCGACTCGCTGCTCAACATTGGCCCCATCCGAGACCTCGTGCCCGTCCCAGCATTCCACACACTCAATCTCTCCCTTTCCTTTTCCTCCCATTTGTGTCCATGCTTGATTGTCCCAGGAGAAGCAGCGAGGGGCGAAGCGCTTAAAAGCAGACGAAGCTTCTGATGGCGAAGCGGGTGCTGCAGCCGACGTCGCTGGTGGTGCGGAGGAGGAGGAGGAGGAGGAGGAGCAGGGGCAGGAGGGCTTCTCCTTCCGTGTGTGCGACTCGCTGCTCAACATCGGCCCCATCCGAGACCTCGTGCCCGTCCCTGCATTCCCCACGCCCACTTCCCAGCAGCAACAGCAGCAGCAACAGGAAGTGGGAAAGCTGCAGATGCTAGTGGCGTGCAGTGGGCATGGGAAGAACGGTGCGCTGTCGGTGCTGCTGCAGCGAGTGCCACTGGACGTGCTCACACAGGTACGCCCAGCCCACTCCCCAGAAGGAACAGCAACAGCAACAGCAGCAGCAGCATCAGATGCTGGTGGCGTGCAGTGGGCATGGGAAGAATGGCGCTCTGTCGGTGCTGCTGCAGCGAGTGCCACTGGACGTGCTAACACAGGTACTGCGTGGTGCTGGGGGTGAGCTTTTAAAGAGCGATCTCAATATGGCGCTCTGTTGGTGCTGCTGCAGCGATTACCACTGGACGTGCTCACAGGTTCTGCCACTCCACGAAGCTTGGCAGGAGCGTCCTCTCACAGTGATTTAAACATTAAACGTTATAGATATATACATATATATATATATATCAAATATATATATTTATCGGTGGGTACCTTCCTCTCGTGGCCATACCAACCAGCATGATTGGTGATGGCTGCTCTAACCTTTCTGAAGCTTTCTCTTAACTCTATTTCTAAAGCGATTGTTTGGAGTTGTTAAAAATTGCTCACCTTTTTTTTTTTTCAAAAGTGCCTAGTGCCTGTGCCCATTACAACTCGTGCCTTCCATTCCTCCCTTCCTCCCTTCACCATCACAGGAGGATCTTCCTGGCTGCTGCGGCCTGTGGACTGTCTATGGCTCTGATCTGCCTTCTGAAGCCAGGGAGGGAGGAGAAGATGGGCAGGCAGCAGCAGGCGGGGCGGGAGGGACAGCCGTAGAGGGGGAGGGAGCAGGAAAGGGAGGTATAGGAGGGGTTGAGGGCGGTGAGCAGGGGTGTGGAGCAGGTGCTATGGAGGTGGAGGGAGGGAGTGGGGTGGGGGGTGGAAAAGGTGGGAAGAGAGATAGAGGCAGCAGTTACCATGGGTTCCTTGTGCTGGCGTTTGAAGGGCAAAGCATGGTGAGAAGGGAAGGGAGATGATGATAGGTATGTAGCATTTAGATGATGCATCAGTTTGCTGCATGTATCTACCACTCCTTCACGCTCTTTGCTGTCACTGGTATCAGCGGAAGGCAGTTTCATCACACACACGCCCACCCACCGTCATAGCCACCAATCTTTTCTCTCTCCTGGTCCCTCCTGCCCCTTCCCCCCTTTCCTGCTTCCCCCCCTCAGGTGCTAGAAACAGTGAGCTGCTTCGGGAGGTATCAGCAGAAGTCGGTTCTATCACCGACATCCCGACCCTCCTGGCTGCCAATTTCTTCCCCCTCCCGGCCCCTTTCGTGCCCCATCCCTCCCTCCCTCCCTCCCTCCTGCCTCCCTCCTTCCCTCAGGTCCTAGAAACAGGTGAGTTGCTTCGGGAGGTCTCAGCAAAGGTCAGCTTTATCACAGACGCGCCCACCCTCCTGGCCGGCAATCTCTTCTCTTTCCTGCCCCTCCTGCCCCTTTCCCCCTCTCATGTACTTCTCTCCCTCAGGTGCTAGAGACAGGTGAGTTGCTTCGGGAGGTCTCAGCGGAAGTCAGCTTTATCACCGATGCCCCCACCCTCCTGGCCGCCAATCTCTTCTCTCGCCGCTGCATCCTCCAAGTCACTCCCTCTGCCGTCCGATTGCTCGCCAGCTCAGCCAGCCTGCTGCAGGAGATGCTGCCACGTGGCATGGTGGTTGAGAGAGGGCAGGAGGGCTGGGAGGGGATGGAGGAGGGGAAGGAGGGGGAAGAGGACGTAGAGATTGAGTCTGCTGACGTGGCGGATCCATATGTCATGCTGCGATTGGTGGATGGCCGATTCATTCTACTTGGACCAGGTAATGCTCTTGATCATTGCAAAGAACGGTGGTGCCATTGTTTGCAAAGGATGATTGGTACAACTATCTATGCTAAAAATGGTTTTTAAATAGCCATTTTTTGTGCGTGCCTGATGGTAAACAAGCAAGTAACATTTTTTTTTTTTTTCTCCCAACATCCCACCCACCTGCAGATCCGTCCAAACCTCTCTCTCTGGTGCCCATTCCATGCCACCTCCCCTCTCCTTCCTCTGACCCTATCACGGCCTACTCTCTCCTCCTCTCCCCCTCGCCAGCCATATCCAATTCCCATAGCTCCACAACCACCACCAGCGGCACCAGCACCAGCAGTGCATTGGCTTGTGCCCTTGGCAGTAGTGGTGGCAGCAGCGGTGGTAACAGCAGTGGCAAAGGAACTCCCTCCTTTACTGCTGCTCCTCCTTCTCCTCCTGTTCCCCTCTGTGCTGTGGCTCGTAGATCCGGCCTGCTCCAGTTGTACCTTCTCCCCTCTCTCCGCTGCGTGTTCTCCTCCCTGGGCCTTGCGGATAGTCACACTCTCTTGAAGCACACTCCTGCTGCAGCCGCTGCTGCTGCGGCTGTTGTTGCTGCTGCTACAGATGCAGCAGAGGCAGGCAGAGGAGGAAAGGATTCTCTTCCTGTAGGAGGAGAAGCCACAGATGCAGGTACAGCCGCCGCTACGGCTGCCCCTGCAGCCGCCGTTACAGCCACTGCCACAGCAGGGAGTGAAGCAATGGAGGTGGATATTAAGCCTGGGGATGCTGAGAAGAAGGCAGTGGGGAAGCAGGAGTCGGGGAAAGTGGGGGTGGGAGGAGATGAGGAGATGGTGGTAAAGGAGGAGAGGAGGGATGGGGAGGGGAAGGAGGAGGGAAAGAAGGAGGCGAAAGAGGGTGATGTTGAGATGGATGGTGGCAGTGGTGCTGGCAATGGTGTGGGTAAGGGCACAAATGTCAAAGCAGAGGAGAAAGGAGTGAAGACAGAGGTGAAAGAAACAGAGGGGTCACAGAAAATAGAGAATGATGGAGCAGTAGCAGCAGTGACAGCACACACGCCTGCACCAGTTGCCACCTCAGCACACATGTCAGCGCCTGATTGGCCGAAGCAGTTTGTCGTGGATCTGCACGTGTCTGTCAACCCTGTCACCGGGCGGCTGTTTTTGTTTGTTGTGCTTTCAGACGGGCGGCTGCTGGGCTTCAGAGCGTTCTGCCCCTCGGGAGCTTCCCCTGGAGATGTGATTGCAGCGAGTGTGACAGTAACAGGGGAGCGTGGTGTGAAGGTGGGAGGGCGAGCAGGGGGAGGAGGAGGACATGGGGTGGGGGAGGGGGAACCTGGAGGAAGGGCAGGTAGCATTGGGGTAGGTGGATTTGGGGTAGGTGGGTTGCGGTTCAAGAGGGTTTGTTTAGAGGAGGAAGAGGCAGGGATTCATGAGGTGGAGGGGGAGGAGGAAGGGGAGGAGGAGGGAAAAGGGGAGGGGGCGGTGGGGAGAGGGGCAGGTCCTAGTGGGGGAGCAGGGGGAGAGGGCAGGATGAAGCAGGAGGGAGGGGGCGAGAAAGGGGGAGGTGAGAGTGGGGGAGGTGAAAGTGGGGGAGGTGATCCTGCAGCAGAAGAGAAGGCGCAGGGAGAGGAGGGTGCGGAGAGGAGCAGGAGGGCTGGGAGGGCGAGAAAGAAAATGCTGTTTCCGTATCAAGGGGTGGGGCTGGAGGGGAGTGGAGGAGGGGGTGGAGGAGGGGGGTTTGGTGGGAGGGGTAAGGGGGGTGTTGGTGACAGTGGTGGCATTGGCGGTGTGTTTGTGGCTGGGAGTAGGCCCAGATGGCTGATGCTGCTGCGAGATAGAGTGTGGGTGCACCCTGTGGTGAGTCTGAGTCGTGCATGCTGTGCTGTGTCACGTGTGCCATGCTGAGTCTTGTGTGCCATGCTGAGTCACGCGTGCCATGCATGCTATGCTTTGGCTTTCATGCCTTTGAGCATGCTGCCGAGGGAAAAACACACACGAGATCACACAGAACAAGCAAACAGTGAAAGATTCCCGAAATTCGTCCCTTCCCAACACCTCTAGATCATCCCACACATCCCACAGAGTCTATTTTTGAGGCGCCTAAAGAACACACATACCACATATGCCCGCCTGCCCAAACACAGGCCGCAGAGGCAGCATCGAGCGTGGTGGCAATGGCGCCCTTCCACAACGTCAACTGCACGCATGGCTTCCTCCTCATCTCCTCTCTAGGCGTGCTCTCCATCTGCCAGTTGCCCCCTCTCTTCCAGTTCGACAACGCATGGCCCCTCAACAAGGTGTGTGTATGCCTGGATTGGGTACTCGGGAAGGGTTAGAGCCCAATAGGTTTTTTTTGCACCACTCGCTCACCTGCCCTACATTCTTCTCTCCCCATTGGTATTGTTTTTTTCTTTTATTTTCTTTTCTTTTCTTTTGATTTGCACACTCTAATGCCTATGCTCGCCGTTCCCCCCTTCTACCTCCACTCTCCCCACTCTTCCCCACTGTGCCTCGTTCTCCCCCCCTTCACAGATTCCCTTGCGCTCAACCCCCCACTCGGTCACTCTCTCCCCGGACGCAGCTCATCTTTTCCTCGTCACTTCAACCCCCGTAGGCTTATATCCCCAGCCCCGTACACATACGATAGTTGCAACCGTTTTCTTTCTACGTTCAAATGCTCCACTCTCCCCGCCTATCCCCCTCCTTCTCCCTTCCCACCTCTCACTCGCCTTCGCCTGTCAAGTATTTTGACCCGTCCCCTAATTTCTCGTTCCCTCTCTCATTCTTCTTCCCCATCTTCTCCCATTCTTCTCCTCACTTCCACCCACTCTTCGTTTCACTCTTCCTCTCACTCTCCCCCTTTCAGGTGTCTCGGCCAGTGTCTCAGTTCCTGGTTCCTTCCCTAGAAGACCCAAAAGATCCAACAACCGCAGCACTAGGCTTGGCCGGACCTGGAGGTCCGGGAGCTCCAGGATCCTCCGGCACAGACGCCGAAGCAGTAGCTATGGTTGAGGACTTCCAGCTTCGGGTGGTAACCTGCCCGAGCCTAGAGGCCCCGAGCCGCGCCCTGGAGGTTCGGCAGAGATTTGAGTTCCAGCCGTTTGAAGCGGTGACAATGGTGAAGTCAGTGGTGCTGAGGAATCGCAGCAGTGGGCAGTTACAGACGCTCCTGGCTGTATGTACGACGTTTATCACAGGGGAGGACGCACCTGGGAAAGGCAGGATCCTGCTCTTCGAGTACAACCCACTGGCAACAGCTGATGGGGATGGTCCTGCTGCTGCTGGCACTGGTGCAGCCGCAACGGCAGATGCAGAGGGTAAAGCGGCAGGTGGAAGCAATGGAATTCCCTTGGTGAGCCTGCCTTTCCGCTGCTTCCCTTGATTGTCCGTCTGTCGCCTTTCATCCCTTGTGCAGCGTGTGTTTTCCTAGAGGGGCAGCATGGCATGGCAGAATGTTCGGACAGAGCTGAGACGCCCTCCTCCTTTCTCTTCCCTTCCTTGTCTCCATATCAAACATAATCCCACCAGCTGAGGGAGCTCTATTCAAAGGAGCCCATAGCGGGTAGCAGTCAAAGAGGCAGCGTGGCAGCACTCACGGCGCTGCAGGGCAATCTGCTGCTGGCAGTCGGGCGACAGCTGGTGCTGTATGCATGGAACGGAGTGGAATTAGAAGGAATCGCCTTCCTTGATGCTCCTCTCTACGTGGTTTCCATGGCAACGGTGAGTGGTTGGGCTTGATTAAGAGCTGCAGTTCCACTTAGGATCTCTCTTATCTGCTGCAGGCAGTGGGGCGGCAGCTGGTGCTGTATATGTGGAATGGGATAGACAGCTATGGATTCTTCTAGGGGATGTGTTAAAGAGCATGTAGTTCCTGTGCTGGAGAGAGTAGGGAGCTCAGCTCACCCTTTCCGATTGAGATGTTCTGCGTTTCTTTCCAATTGTTGTCTTTCAGGTGAAGAGCTTTGTGATTGTAGGTGATGTGCTAAAGAGCGTCTACTTCCTGCACTGGAGAGAGGAGGGCGCTCAGCTCACCCTCCTCGCGCGCGACTTTTTCTCTCTGCCGATCACAGCCGTCGATTTCCTCATCGACGGCTCAGCTCTCGGGCTGCTGGCCACCGACACGGCCAAGAACCTCCAAGTCTTTGCCTACTCCAAGTCCATTGAGACACACATGGGTCAGAAGCTGCTGCTTAAAGCATCTTTCCACACAGGAGAGGTGCTCTCGAAGGTTCTCCGGCTGCCGCTGCCCCCTCCTCTTGCCACAGCAGCAGGAGGAAGAAGAGGAGGAGCGGGAGGAGGAGGAGCAGCAGCTTCGGGCCGAACCAACAGGTTCGGCGTGCTTGCAGGGACGCTCGGCGGGGCGATTGTGGTGGTGACGCCAGTTCCAGAGCTGGTGTTTCGGAGGCTGGATACAGTGCAGCGTTACATGGTAACCGCAGTGGAGCAGACAGCAGGGTTACACCCGCTGGCGTTCCGGGCGGTGCAAGGGCTGGGGAAGGGGCAGCAGCATTCCGGAGTGGAGCGAATGATTGACTCTCAGCTTCTTGCTCAGTGAGTTGACCTTTCCCATGCCGCCATGCATCCGCACACCCTTCGACCCTTGTTTCCCATGCCGGCCCCCATTTAGCATGCTCCCACCAGGTACGCATGGAGACAGTCAGCACTACTCACATCAGCACCAACCTCAGAACTCCCCATGCTCCCATCCACCCATCAACCCTTTACCCATGTGTCCCATGCGTCCTATGCACCCACCAGGTATGCACTGATGGAGGACAGTCAGCAGCAGCAGCTAGCAGAGGACGTCGGTTCCACTCGTCCCATGGTGCTGCAGAACCTGCGGGACCTTGCCCACAATGCCATGCTCTTCTAGCCAGAGCCCTGTTACTGTTCTCTTCAACCACAATCTCCTGACTGTGTCGGGAAAGGGCCAACTGCTTTACCTAAGGCATAAGGGCGTGTTCCTACGGCCCCTTATCAGGGCAACCCCTTATCAAGCTCGCTACTTTTCCCCCTGAAAGTTCCCTAAACCCGAAAACCCTCGCTACTTTTACCAGGCAAGGCTGACAAGAGGTTTGCCTGATAAGAGCGTAGGAACACGCCCTAAGGCACCAAGGAGCAGAGCAGCACCTAGCACAAGGCATGGGCTCCAGATGAGTCATGTCATGCCCACGAGTCAAATGGTGCTGCAGAACCCCCGGCCGGGCCGGAGCCTCAAGCACAGCGCCTTGATCCTGCGGCGAATGTCAACCGTGCGCCGTGGGGAACCCGTTTCAAACCGTTTCCCTTACTGATGCATCGGCTTGCGACAGTCCTGATGCTCCAACCGTTTCCGACCGACACACCTTGGCCCTTCATCTTCATCTTCATCTTCATCTTCGGTACTAGCGAATCTAGCAAATTTGACGAATCGGAACAGTTCTATAACCAAAAAGGCTGAAAGGGCCAGGATGCGGAAATGAGGCAACCTAAGAACTCTAAAAGCGATTTGGGCATACCATGTAGGGTAGAATACTGGTATCGTTTCTAGAACCTTGTTGTGTGCGCTTGATTGACCTGTGACCAGGGCTGGCCATTCACATTAGGCCTCCCTGAATCCGGGAAAAAAATTCACCTTGTATTATGGGTGCCAATTTTTCAAAAGTTTGCCAGTCTGATTGCTCAGTGTCCAATGTCATCTCACTCTTATTCGTCAGAGTACAGCAATAAATCAGCGTTGCAGTCAATCACTAACACACAAATTTCCCCCACGCGGCACCGCATAGTCGCATTGGTACAACAAAGCTGTACACCTAGTCCGCGCCTCAGTTTACCCTTAAAGCCCCTGTTGACCTTATCTGACTAGAGGGATCAGACACCCCGGAATTGGAGGCTATTCGTGGCATTGTGGAGTGTCGATGTTGTAGAACTCTTACTCTGGGAGACTGCAGCGCAAAGACTGGATCTTCCGCTACGACCATGTTTTTTGTTTTCGTAACTGCGACCCAATCGTACCCTCTTTAAAGCCGGCAGCTCAAATTGTTCATGCTTTTAAAAGTTGACCAGAGAGAGTTTTTCTGAGTTTCCGATTTCGTCTAGGTTCGTTTTTTTCGCAAGACCCAGCCAACCCTCGTTTCCCCCCGTGGTGAGTAATCTGTCTTCGAAAGTCCCAAACAGGCCCTCTGAAGTCAGAGAAATTTGTCTGATTTGCTTGGAAAAGTCTGAGATTTCAGATATTTTTTTGGGTGTACTCAGTAAAATTCAGAGTTTTTATAGCCTTAACTCTGTAAAAATCAGATTTACTTTATATGCTGACTCTGAGATTTCAGAGTTTCCCGGGAGTGTACTCTGAGGAATTCAGAGTACAAACGAGTACCGACTCTGATTGAATGTACCTGTGCGCCGACACCCAGGATTAGCGGTGGTACATTGTACCTGTACCGTCAATCACACGAAATCTGTGCCAACTGAGAAGTTCTGTGGGCGACGCCGCCCTGCGGCGCGATGTTTCCCTCGTACAGCTGCCAGTTTTCCCCCGCCCTGCAGCGCGAAGTTTCCCGCGGTGTAAGTTCCAGCTCACTCTGTTAGAGCACTGATTGGTCCGTTGGCAGCTCTTGACTGCCAACGGACTCCACCACCACCACCAGGGTCCAACATGCTGCAGCAGTTGCCACCCACGTAAAGGTGTTGGCAAGCATACGTTGCCAACAAGACCCGTTGATTGGTCCCTTTGGCAGCATCTTGTACCAACACGATGTAATCCTCACAGCAGTGCACGGCAGATGCGCCTCGTCGTTGCCGTGCATGCTAGGCAACCACCCATCAGAGGCATGGATGGCCCACAGTCAGTTATAGGGCCATCCTCTACAACCTAGGGTTTCATCCCCATTCCTCAGCTCAGCTTCATCTCTCTGGGCCCATACACTACCCAGTTTAGTAGCCTCAGAACCTCTCGTTCCTGCTCGGCAGGCTCTCTCAGACACGCGCCATGGCTCTGCCCGACAATCCCGCAACCGCAGATGATGACGACCCTGATTCTCGTCCTGCGTTAACAGGCCTAGATTTGTTGCTCAGTCACCTAGCTCTCGAGAAGGCAGCACACGCGGAGCCCGATTCTATCCCCACCTCGAAGGAACCTCCAGCTCCCGTGCTCTCAAATCCCGACCCTGTGGCAGAGATACGTGTGGAACCACCTGTCATTTCGGCATCGCACCATCCCACTCAGACCACGGAGCGAACCGTCCGGCTCGTCAAGCAGGCGACCTTGAGCTTCGCCAAGCCTTCTTCCTCGACCGCCAACGTCAACAATTCTCCCGGCTCGTCCGAGCGTGCGCGTCCTCGCCTCACCATAAACCTGACCGAGCTCATTGAAGGGCTATACGATGATGCCATTTACAAGTTCAAGAGTCAGTGGCAAGCACGGTTTCGCTGGCTGCAAATCACCAAAACCACATCCGGCTTGCCTGCCTTCAAGTATATTGTTTGTGCAGCTTATGCTTGCGACGGAGGCAAGTGCGGGAGACGCGGGAAAGGCGCCACGGACTTGCACACCCAGTCGTTTCGTAAGCACGTGGGCACGGCGAAGCACAAGCTGGCGATGGAGAGACAAACAGCTGTGCAGGAGTGCGGAGAGAGGCAGCCGCAGATCGACCACCACCGCGCCACCATGGACGGAGAGCAGTCGCGCGTCGTCACCCTTCTCGACTCCCTGCTCTTCATCAGCAGGTCCGATGCGCCGATGGGGATGTGGGTGAAGCTGGTGTGTTACCTGGCGGAGAAGGGCGTGCCTGGCTTCCCGAAGAAGGGGTACGGCACCTATTACACCACGTGAGTGCAACTGCCACAATTCATTTAATGCACTTTGACGTGTCAATGTTTAGTTCCGAGGATAATGTTCTCACTACTATCTCTATGTGCATGCAGATACGGTTTCGGTGAGCTGACGCAAGCGACTGCGACATGGCTCCACACAACTCAGCTGGAACACGTCTTGGCGTCGCCCTTCGTCGGCATCTCGATCGACGAGAGCACGGATAGGTGCAGCAGGAAGCACCTAATCATCTTCATCACTTTCATCCGTGACAACAAGCTTGTCACGGAGTTGATGACGCTATTCACCGTGGAGAAGGCCGATGCAGCTTCCCTGCTCAGTGTTCTGGTGTCACATCTGCAGGCTGTCGGGGTCGACCTTCAGCGCATAGCGGGGATCAGCACGGACGGTGCCAACGTTATGATGGGCAGCAAGTCCGGCCTCACCACACGCCTCCGACTGCGCATCCCCCATCTCGTGTCTTCACACTGTATCGCGCACAGGTATGTATGTATGTGTAATCCCCATCACTTGTGTTGCGTCTTTTACGTCTGTGTCTTTCCCGATGTACTAAAGTTGTTTTCGTCTTTTGTACAGAGAGGCACTCGCGGCTAAAACGGCGGCCGAGAAATTTCCAGCGTTTAGTGTCATTGACACGGTGATTCGCACCGTGGCAGAGCATCTCGGCCGTTCGGGGCCGTGGCATCAACGGTTCATGGGGCTCCAAGAGGTCTTCGCGTCCACCTCTCTTGAGCTCCAGGGCATTCATTCCGTCCGATGGCTTTCGCGGGGCGACGCAGTGCTCAGGCTTGTCGCGGTGCTTCCAGCACTCATCGTGATGCTTAAGGAGTGGGACGCGAACTCTATGCTCTTGTTACAAGTTACAAGTTTCATTTCCTTCTCTTCTTCATTGCTGATGTGCTTGAGCAGCTCAACATCCTGAACCGGGTGTTCCAGCACAAGGAGGTGAGCTTGGCCATAGGTTCCTGTTAATGTTTTGTTGCAGTCGTCATTATGCTTTGTTCCTATATGTTAACCGTGACCATACACTTACTACCTTTCTTTGTTTCCTGTCCAGCTTGACTATGCCAGCGTGCATGTGCAGATCAAGCGCACACCGTCCCACATCGAGAGCCGCTACGTTGATTGCGGCGACGACTTCGGTGGTGGCGTGAGCGAGTTGCTGTCCCCCTTCATCGTGCGCCATGGGCCAGGAGGAAACCGGGAGGTGAAAGTCGAAGGGGTTGACTCAGACGGCCATCCAGCACGCTTGAAATTCATGCTGCATGAGGACGAGCTGGAGGAGTGGGAAGGGCCCGAGACCCATGATGACTGTGCGGAACCGTGCGCAGAGTTTGCGGAGGTGATTGTTCACCAACTCGAGCATCGGCTTGGCGACCTGGATGGGATGTTCGGGGTGAAGCTGTTCCTGCCTGACGAGTACCCGCTGGATCGAGTCGAGAGGAAACGGAGGTGCCTTCAGTGGCTACAGTCGCTGGTCACTTTGTTCAAGGCCGACCTGACGAAAGAGATCGTGCCAGGTAAGCCTTTTTGTGTGTGCCTTTAAAGATCGCTGGCTCGTTCCTCTGTGTCCTAGCATATATAGCTCTAGTATAGGTAGGTAGGACCCTAAATCTAACTGTTAATGCATCAGCAGTAGTATGTTATGTAGGCCTATAACTGTCTAATGTAGTTCAACCAAGGTCAACTGTACCTTATACAACACACGACTAAAATCAAAATCAGACTTGTCACTGGTGTAGACTCTGAATGCTTCAGACTTTTTTTTTAGGCACTCAAAAGTTTCAGCCTTTTTTTTCAACCAACTCAGATCAAATCAGACTAACACAGTGTACAAAGTCTGACAAATCAAACAGGCCAAAAACGAATCTGAGGGCCTGGTCCCAAATTGCGGACCTTGACTCTCGCGGTCCGCAATTTGGGACACGGGCTTTAACCCAAACTGTTCAAAACAACCCCTAATTCCGGGTAACTCAGGAATGAATACACAGGGGTGTGAAAATAGCCCGAGGTCAGAATGTTTTTTTCCCAAAATTCCTGAAGGGCTTTAAACATGTTGGGGA